TACCGACTGATGGTAAAAATTCTTTTAAAAAAATTACCTAAGTCGGTAAGGTAGATTTCTGTATTGGTCATTTTCTATATTTTAATTTTTCAAAAACCTATTTACTATCAGTCGGTAATAAAGATTTGTGTCTGTAATTTTTATATTTTAATTTTTCAAAAAACCTGTTTTACCATCAGCCGGTAAGGTGGATTTCTAGGTCGGTATTTTTTTATATTTTTATTTTTTAATAATTTTTTACCGTCTTGTTAATTTTTTAACTATCTATATATTAATTATTGTAATAATTAATAATTTCAATTATTAATTGTTGTAATTATCAATTATTTTAATTATTAATTATTGTAATTATTAATATTAATGCAAAAAATTATTACAATTATTTATATTTTATATAATATTATAGAGAAAAAATAAATAAAAATTGATATAAAAATTTATCATGACTGGAAAAATTCTAATAAAAAAAAAAAAAAATGTTGTGCTGGTTGAACCTTGGCTCCTTCAAGGCATCCTTGAACTTGAACGAGTTGAGGTAAGGGGCCGCGCCGTTTTGTTGCTATGTAAGTTATTTTTGTTCTTGGCTTTGCCCCGCTAAGTTCATCATCCCGGAACACACTGCGATACGTAAATATAGACTATGATGAAGGTATAATAATTTTCTACCTTTTCTTTTTGGGAAAGTGGCCAATTTTAATAAAATCAATTTTCTTTTTTATTAAAAAAAAATTTTCCTGTTCTAGTTTTCGTTTAAAAAGAATGCGATTATTTTTGAGAATATTATTCTTTGAATAGAAAGACAGAAGAATTTTTATTTTTTATAAAGAGGACAATAGCGATACTCTTGTTTTGAGTATAAAAATAGAAAATTTCCTCTCAAGGGAAGAATAATAATTTTTTTTTTTTTTTTTTTTTTGCATTCTTAAGGTGGGATTACTCGTGCACATACTTGAGTGACCAGATATGATAAAGATAGTAGAAACTATTATTAGAGATATATCACAGCAGGAAGCCCCATCTCTGTACAGCTTGCACGTTTTTATTTTTCTTCTCTTCCTCCTCTCTTTATGTTCAAGTGTCAGGGCCGCATCTGATGTATATAAAAAGGGCACTTACATGGCATTATTACATTCAGAATTCACAATGTTGATCTTGTCTTTGTTATGTAAAGATAAAGTCAAATTGAACAGTTCATTTCATAATAACCAACTTTATTACAATAAGGTAACACAGTCAGTAATTTTTCATTCTAGAATTTTTTTTTTAATTTTAACTATCATTTTATTTATTTATTTATATATATATACTCTCGAATTTAGAGAATAATTTATTGAACATTTTCTAGAGGGCTGATGCTGGGAAAATGATATCAAATGACGTTTTATCATTATTCACTATATTATTATTATCTACAATTAAAATCGTTTAGTCGGATCAATAATAATAAGATGATAAAATATGTCATTTGCAATTTTCTTACTCGTAAATCTTAATATTTCTTTCTCCTAAATCGCGCTATGTTAAAAAAAAAAAAAAAACAGGAAATTAAGCTCAACTTTCCATACTCTGAAATCGATTGGAAATCAGAGATATATGACTAATCACGATTCGTTAAATTGCAAAGATCACATTTCGCGCCTATATAATCGGGCACGAAATCTCGTTAACTTTTCTCTCTCTCTGTTCATTGCTTGGCTGTAAACAAGTCGAGACCCTCAAGACACATCATGAATTGCACTCGTGCCCTTAAGGATTCTGGCGCCAACGCTTCGTCTTATAAACTGACGGAATCTCTAAGTATTGCAGGCGCCATAGAAAATTTTTGATGATTTGATAATATCATGTTTTATTGCTTTTCCCCGTGTGCATCGCGTTTCAACTTTGCGGATATGAGCAGGCCGCAAAAAAAAAAAAATAAAAGGATTCGCTCTCCTCTATAGAAGCAGTTAAAACTTTTTAATCTTTCAGTGAAGATATATAATGAAATGAAAATTATAGAATTTTTTTTAATTATTCGCTCGTCAAAAATCGTTTATTGGGATTTTTAACAAAAAAATTTATTAAAAAAAAATATTTCATTTAAATAAATTTTTATTGGATATAAATAAAATATTTTATTTACGTCAAATAAATATGGTCTAAGTAGGCTCTGAGACAATTATATACGTTTATTTAACTCGAATATATTATATTTGGTTCAAGTAAAACATTTCTCTGATGGGTGTAAAAAGTTATTTTTTTTATTAAAAATTTAAATAATTAATTATTATAATAATTAATACATAGATAGTTAAAAAATTAACAAGACGTAAAAAATTATTAAAAAAATAAAAATATAAAAAATTACCGACACAGAAATCTACTTTACCGACTGATGGTAAAACAGATTTTTAACAAAAAATTTATTTAAAAAAATATTTATTTGATTTAAATAAATTTTTATTGAATTTAAATAAAATATTTTATTTACGCCAAATAAATATGGTCTAAGTAGGCTCTGATACAATTATATACGTTTATTTAACTCAAATATATTATATTTGGTTCAAATAAAACATTTCTCTGTGTGTAAAAAGTTATTTTTTTTATTAAAAAATAAATGAATACAGGATTTACCTGTATGATTGAAATAATAAAATAAATAAATAAAATAATTAGAATATAAAAAAAAGAAAATAATAATAAATAAAATAAATAAAAAAAATAAGTAACTAAAAAAATGAACAGTAATTTTTTAAAAATTAAAAATCGTAAAAAATAGAAATTATAAAAACGATATGATTTCATGGTATAATCATGTATCTTTACTTGTTTCTCCGCGACTTGAGTTTCGCAAGGACACTACGCAGTGGCAGCACCTTACAGGCGATAACTACTTTTTCATTTCTATATATCCATATTCTATACAATAAATAATTTTTTTAGAGAAAATAAATGTTTCAAATTTGCAAACAATATATTATTATTTTATAAATAAGAAATATATTCTAAAAAGCTATATATAATTCTTAAAAATATTAATTTTTAATAATATTGTTATCAGTAAAAAGCAAAAAAATTATTTTATTCAAATAATCACGATTAACAAAAAAATATTAACGAAATAATTTTTATTTTTATTTAAATTAAATAAACTATATTTTGCTAATTCAAATATATAAATAATTTTATATTAATAGATTATCGTAAAAAAATCTTCACCTAGATCAGCGATATGTTTCACTAAAACAGGAAAATTTTTCGCTATTCTAGAAAAATATATCGCTGTTCCAGAGAAACTTATCGCTGTTCCAGGTGAAGAATTTTTTTTGCATGTATACAAATAAATTATATATAAATAAATTATAATTATTATATTATAATTATAATTATTATTATTATTATTATTATAAATAAATATTTATTTATTATTATTTTTTTTTGTTTATATTAATATTATTTTTATTTATTATTATTTTTTTTTGTTTATATTAATATGTAATAAATAATATTGAAAAATAGTGTAAATTAAGATAAAATTAAAAACAGTTTTGTAATAATAAAAATTATATGAATTAACGGTTAATTTTAATTTTGCAGTGGAAATGATTATTTTTGTTGTTATTAAAAGTAACATGTTGTAGGTGAAGATTTTGGTTTAGCAGAGGAATGTTTTCTACAAAAAAAAAAAAAAAAATAGTGTGCGGCAATCTTGATGTAACTGTAACATCGTTAGGCATTTGTGATATGACTTCAGGGTGTTTATAACCAATTTGACTATATTGCAATCCGATTTCAATTGCTTTCATTTATTATAGTATATTTATATATATATTCCAACTGCGATCCAATTATCAACCACCTCAGGAAGAATATTTATTTAACCATATAAATTCATAAGAATATCTTCTCTATGACATATTTCCTATCATTTTTTAAAATTTTATTATTATTCCACGTTTTTTTCTATCCCCCAAAAAAAAGAAAAAAAATATTATTAACATTTTCTTTTTTTTTTGACAAAAATTTTCATCTGATTTTGTCTGTGACAAGTTTGAAACAAGTCACGTAGAGAAAGATTATTATTTTTTTTTTTTTTTTTTTTGGCAGAGGACAACTGAGATTATTTTTATTGGATCCACCAAGAGAAAGAAAGATCACGGTCGCGACACAGAAGAAGTTTTACGGACGCGCGCATATATATATATATGTATATATAAAATGCGAATAAAAGGCCCTGAACTTCCGGTTGCGGCGAGAAAAAGCCGAGGACATGTGAAACAAAGGGAAAGCCAACTTTTTATGAAAAAAAAAAGCGCAACTTCTCGTCCTTGGTACCTTTATGGTACCGAAGTCAAAGTTCATTCTAAACGAGAAACGAATTCAAGATACGGATTCGAAATATCTTTTATCACAAAAGAAATTGCCCGAGGCTTTAAAACTCAATTAGCCATCGTATATGTATATACGTCTCAAGACAAAAGATATATAAAGCAGCCTGGAATATATATATAATTATAATATATTTATAATATTTAATTTACTGAAAACAAAATTATTTAATTAAAATAATCGATTAATTTATTTAAATTAAATAATAATTATTGAGTCAATTAAATTGTATTTGCTTCCAATACAGAAATTGTTTCAAATACACTGAAAAAAAGGTTTGGTATTAACAACCAAACGTTTGGTTGGTATTTAAGCAACCAAAATTTTAATTGTCTCAACCAAAATTAGAAAAAAAGAATTTTTTTTGTTCTTACTAAAATTTTCATTGGGACAACCAAAATTTTGTTGATTCAACAAAAAAAATTTTGGTTGCTTAAATACCAACCAAACGTTTGGTTGTCAATACCAAACCCTTTTTTTCAGTGTATACTATTTAATTAAAATTTAATTAAAAATTTAATTTAATTTAATTTAATTAAAATTAAATTTTTTGATAAATTAATCGATTATTTGAATTAAATAAATTTTTATTCGTTTTTTTCTTTTTATATTGAAGAAAACAATGAAAATAAAAATAATAAATTTATTTACTCCTTTTTATTCGTTACACGATGGTGGTGAAGATTTACTAGCTTCTGAAGAATAAACTTGCTCGGTACAAGGTTCAGGGTCTGGTGGGCAAATCTCAGATGAAACAACATCAGTTCCAAGAGCTAGTGTCTGCATAAAAAAAAAATCTAAGAGCTTAAACGTGTGCTTTCTGATGATAAAAATAAGTAATATATTTAATGATAAAAATAAATTTTGAAAATAAAAAAAAAAAATGTTGAGAAAAAAAAATAGGGAATATTATTTTTGTCAAGATTTTCTTAATTTTATTGCGCGGGATAATAAAATGTAAATTAACCTCTCCAATTTTAATTGCTTCCCTCAGTTCAGGTACTGCAACTTGAAGTAATTTGCATTCTGAATCTGAAAGAGGTGGCACACCTAAATGCATCTGAATTCCGCATGGACCTAGCCTCAAAGGCGAGGCGAAATACGTCACTTCCGGAATAACACAGGATCGAACATAGGCACATTCCACCACCTCCGATTGATCTCGTAAAGCTATATTAAATTCATAATTTAGATCTTTTATTTTATTTTTTTTCATTCATTTTTAATGGGAAACAAAATTTATTCCAGATCAAAATTTTTTTTTCTAATAATAATTAATATAGTTATAATAATTATTATTATTAATTATAATAATTATTATTAATTAAAATAATTATTATTAATTAAAATAATTATTATTAATTATAATAATTATTAATTATTGGCAATAATTTTTCAAATTACCTTTACACAATGATATGCAAAATCTTGCAGCAGCATAACCTTCCATTAAATGTAACGAATTTTCCACATTGGGATATTTTTGTTGAAAATCATGATCTGCATTTCTTAAGGTAAACATTAATTTACCGACTTCTTCCTGGAATGTATATTAAAACTGTATTTTATGTTCTCTAGATATAAAATGATATTGAAATATTTTATGTAGTAATTTTTATTTTCTTTTTTTGTAATTAAATATATAATTTAATGAAATTAAATTGTAGTGATAATATATATATATATATATATATATATATATATATATATATATATATTTGAATACTAACGTGAGTAAAGCTATTGCATGGTTTTGCATTTGAAAATAGTGGTACACATGTTTTTGGACAATTACCACCAATAATTGGTACAAAAACACATTCTGGATCGACACCAAGAATATCTGCTGTCAATGTATTTGCTCGAATATTATTAATAGTTGTCACACCAAATAGACGATTTAAATTTGTAATACCGGCCATTTTTAACATTTCCGCTGCCATTGGTATTAAACTATTAATTGGATTTGTTGTCATTGCTATTAAAGCCTTAAAATGAAAATATTTATATAATTATTATTTTGACACATTGAGAAAAAATTTATTTAGTTCAAATAATTGGTTACTTTACTATTATCAAATAAATATATTTATTTGTATTAAATAATTTTTTATTTGGTTTAAATAATTTTAATTTAATTAAATTATTTATATTTGAATTAAATAATTTTTATTAGAACTAAATAAATTGTATTTGAACTATTTGATGTATTTGAAACAAATACAATTTAATTGACTCAATAATTATTTAATACAAATAAATAATGATAATAATCAAGTGAATGATTATATTTGAATCAAACTAATTATTTATTTGGAAAAAAAATTTTACTAGTAAATAAAAAATATTTTTTTACTAATTCTTAACAAAAATTAAATAACTAATTCAGATTTAACGATGATAGTTAGAGACGTTAATAATTAGAATTTTATATTAAAAAAATATTTATTGTTTATTATATAAGTAAACATATGTCGCAAGAATTTAATATAATCCATTATTTATACTTTTATTATTACACACTTTTAAAAACAATAATTATAAATTCAGCTCCATAAACTTGATTATCTATTTTTGAATGTTTTTAAATAATGTTTTTTCTTTTTTTTATTATTTATTATATTATTTATTAAAATTACAATTATTGATTAATTTATTTATTATTTATTTTATTTATTAATTTTTCAATTATTATTTTAATAATAAAAATTCATGTAGAATGATTACTGTAATGTATAATAATAATAATAATAATAATAATAATAATAATAATAATAATAATAATATGGATAATTGGAAAATACTTTGATATGATTTTATGTCACAAAGAAATTGCAATGCATATATATGCAGTTGGCCTCGTCTCCTTTATGCGTTTTCATTAATTTTGATTCTACTTTATTTTAACACCCGCACTCTCAAGGCCAAATAGCAAGACAATTTTACTTAACGGATAATTGTTTTGCATTCCATGGATCTGCTTGATAATTTATCACTGATAAAATATCCAAGCTATATAGGTATATCTAAATCTACTACAATGATTTATTTTCCTATTTTGAAACTATGAATCTCATATAATATAATGGATTTTGTTTGACGGTCATTTATCATCATTTTTCACAATTATTATTATTGTATATGTAACTATCCTCGTCATGAAAAAAAAAATTTTTTTACACGACATTTCTTTGGAATAATAATTTTACCAAAAATAAAAAATGAATATTTTTTTTTTTTGAAAAATATATTTCACTTACGTCTGGACAATATTTAATAATTTCTGGAATAAATTTTGCCATAATAAGAGCATTTTCATAAAGAATTTCATCGTTTGGTGGTGTTGTTGTATAATATGATGAATTACCAGCAGTGATCATTACTATTTTTGCATTTTCTAAAACTTCATTAAATGAAGACTCACCGGATTCAGAATAATTCACTTTAGAGTTGGTGTCAATGCAATTTAATTCCATTGCTAATCCGCGAATCGATTTAATATCATAAAGTGCCAATTCATCAATTAAAGTTGATTGCTTTAAAAATAAGGACAAACATCTTCCTAAAGATATATTATAAATTGATAATCAATAATTCTCGCGAGATCAATAATATTTTTATATTTTTACGTTTCAGAGAAATATTTTTATTTTAATACAAATGAAATTTAATTGAATTAAATAAAAATTTTTTTTGGCTCAGAATATTTTTGAAAAATAAAAAATTTTATTTAGCACAAATAAAATTTTATTTAGTGCAATTATTTAAAATTTTTATTTATTCATTTTTTTTTTTTTTAAATTTATCTTATTACCTGTTCTTCCATTACAACCTAGAATTGCTACTTTTAATGATTTATTTTCAATTATTGGCGATTTTCTAAAGTAACGATATTGAGGTATTTTTCTAAATATTTCACGAGTAACTTTCAATAGTAATCTACTATTTTCTCTTGAGATTGAATTTTTGAGCAACATTTTTTGGCATTTTTTTTTCCTTTTTTTTTGCAATGTTATGAAAATATCTTGTTCATTTTAGGTTATTTTTCAATTATTTTGGTTAAAATGCTCTATAAAACAAATGAAAGAAGAAAATAAATTTTTTTTAATTACTTTTTTTAATTAATTTTTTTAAATTTTATATTAAATATATATATAAGAAAAAAGTCTGTATGGGAAATTGTAGTAAATGAAAGAAGTCACGTACGAATCATATATTTTTCTTCGAAGTAAGAAAACTCTAAAGAGTCTGAACCCACGATATCGTATTATATTGCATTCCTCTCGCGTTATATTAGTTTTAACTTATATTATATTACCATGTAAAACACAATGTCATATATAGCTCCTAATTACAAATAATTAGGTGAGTCATTTTTTTTTTATCTTTTTGTATACAATATATATTTTCCCATGCTTATTCATTGAGTTGGATTCCATATCTTCTCATTCACATAAAAGTAGTCTATTTTTATCTATTATTATTATTTTTATTCTTATTAATATTTTTATTATTTTATTTTTTTTATTATTTAATTATTCCAAAATGAGAATAAATAAAATATAAAAATAGTTTAATTAAAATTTATTTTTACATAAAAATGTTAGTTAATTTTTTTTATAGAAAATTTTTTAATATTTAATTTAATTAAATTATAATTTATTATTTGATTTATTAAAAAAAAAAAATTCGAAATATTTTAAAAAGAAAAATAAATGTTTGAATATATAATTGATTCTATAAAAGAAAAGCAATATATGCGGCAAAGAAGTGGTTTTTCAAGTGTGGTATCCTTTATAATATGTAAAAAGTATATTTTTTTTTCCCTCCCCTTGGAATTATTAATTTGTATTCACAGAAACTCACGCAGGAAGCCATCTGTAAAGTTGACTATATGAGAAGGCTGAACAACTGGTAGAGTTTATTAGTACTGATCACAATCAACAAAATGAATATTTAATAGCAAAAAGAAAAAAAAATTTTTTTTTCACTCTGAAAGCGATCTAAATATTATTATATATATACCCTATTGAATTTAAATTATTGCAACTTTTCTCAAGCAATTTGTATATCTCTTTCTCTTTTTTTTCCATAAAAATTTAGCCAAAAAAAAATTTATTTTACTTCTACATATAGGAAATACAGAATTATATTTTTTTTCCATAAATTTTATTTACTCCACATAATATATTTTCTTACTTATTATCAATAATGAAAAGAAAAATTTATTTGATTAAAATACTCGATTACTTGACTATTATCAAATAAATATTTATTTGTATCAAATAATTATTATTTTTGAATCAATTAAATGGTATTTATTTCAAATACAAAAATTATTGATTCTAATACAATTTATTTAATTCAAATAAAAATTATTTGGTTCAGGAAAATATTTATTTGATAATAGTCAAGCAATCGAGTATTTGAATGAATGAAATTTTTTTTTTTTTTTAGTGTATCATCAATTTTTCTATTTAATTTTATTTAATTCCTATATAGTGTTCATTAATCATTTTATATATTTTGCTTTTTTTTTTATAGAAATTTATACAAGACAAATAGCAAAATATGAAAAATTACGTTATTACGTTGCACAAAGTTGATTGTTGTTTTTGTCAGTTAAAAAAAAAAATACATATATACAAGTGAGATGGCCAATTAGTATGAAGATTGATAAATTGTTTGCTTAGGGCTGCAATTTAAAACAAGCTTTTGCACAGTGACAGGTGTTTAGAATTATTCTTAATACTTAGTCGTTTTTCAAATGAAATGTCCTCTACGATCCTTATAAATTGTCATTTTATCATGTTAATAATAATCACAGCAATAATAATAAAAATCGAAATTTTTTTTTCATTTCAAATTAATTAATGTGTTCTCACCTTAAAATATTAATAAATATAATTAATAATAATAATAATAATAATAATAATAATAATCAATTTGTTATATTTATCAAATTATTTATGAACTTCATTATTAGTTTGAATAAAAGATACATTTTTATATATATATATGAAATTTTCTAACGATTGAAAAATAATTATATATTGTATATTTATGAAAATAATTTAATTGCATGGAATTTTTTAATAAAACAATAATTATTACATGTTCAATTGTAAATATACAAATTGATTGATTAAATAAAATTGTTTTCCCTATAATATCACACACATTGTACTGCTTCTATAAATTGACGAAAATTCTCTTGAACCGATTAAAAATTATTTCTTATATAGTATACACGCAATTACTTAGAATTCGACAATTGCATTTACATATCGCGAGGAACTGTCCTAATTATACTATACAATTTACTCTCACATATGAATATGCATCTGTCATTGTATATATATGAATCGGTTCACTTAATATCATTAATAGTCGTTTTCTAGATCACAAAGGGGTTAAAAAGTTGCGCGACGTGAAATAATGGGAACGTACAATTAGATTCTCTCTCTCTCTGTCTCTGATTTCTCAGTATTCACATTTTATTATTATTATCATCATTGATACTCCATTGATATGTTGGAATCGTTTTTTATATTCGTTTTATTGTCAATCGTTATGATATGAATTCAAGAATGAAAATTTCTAAGAAAACATAATATATAATTATGTAAATTTTATTCTCTTTTTCTTTTTAATGTCTTCTCTAATTAATTATAAGAATCGCATAAAAAAAATTAAAAAAATAAAAATATAAAAAATTATCGACAAAGAAATTTACCTTACCGGCTGATCGTAAAACAGGGTTTTTGAAAAATGAAAATATAAAAATTACCGATACAGAAATCTACCTTACCGACTGATGGTAAAAAAATCCTGAAAATTTTTCTTTAAAAAATTACCTGCAGTCGGTAAGGTAGATTTCTATGTCGGTAATTATTTATATTTTCAATTTTCAAAACCCCTGTTTTACCATCAGTCGGTAAGCTAGATTTCTGTGTCGGTAATTTTTATATTTTCATTTTTCATAAACCCTGTTTTACCGTCAGTCGGTAAGGTAGATTTCTGTATCGGTAATTTTTTACCTTTTCATTTAAAAACTGTTTCACCATCAGTCGAAAAGGTAGATTTCTGTGTCGGTAATTTTTTATATTGTCATTGTTCAAAAAAAACTGATTTACAATCAGTCGGTAAGCTAGATTTCTGTGCCGGTAAAATTTACATTTTCATTTTTCAAAAAAAATTTCTGTGTCGGTAATTTTTTATATTTTCATTTTTAAAAAACTTTTTCACCATCAGTTGGTAAGATAGATTTCTATATCGGTAATTTTTATATTATCATTTTTCAAAATTCCTGTTTTACCTTTAGTTGGTAAAGTAGATTCCTGTGTCGGTAATTTTTTACCTTTTCGTTTAAAAAAAGCTGTTTCACCATCAGTTGATAAGGTAGATTTCTGTGTCGGTAATTTTTTATATTGTTATTTTCCAAAAACTGTTTTACCATCAGTCGGTAAGGTAGATTTCTATATCGGTAATTTTTATTGTTTTATTGTTCCCAAAAAACTGTTTGACCACCAGTCGGTAAAGTAGATTTCTATTTTGGTAATTTTTCACTGTAATAATTAATGTTCCTTTGTAGGGCAGTATAATATTAAAATATAGTAATTATATTAATAACAACAATAATAATTATTATTATTTTAATTATGAACAGTATAATTATAATTATAATTTTTATAATTGTTTTTTTATTCTCCACTTTATTGAAATTGTTGATTATTTTTCCAACTTATTGCGGAGAAGTAAAAAATAATTATGAAAATGTGTCAATAGATAGTTTATCATCTTGAACAAGTATTAGGTCAGTAAAACTCGCTATTTATTGGTTTAATGTTTATATATGCCAAGTGCAAGACATATGGCAAGAAAAAAAATTATATATATCGTTATAATGGAATATTTTTTTACTATTTTTAATTTTTAATAAAACATCTGACATGTTTAAAAAGGAGACAATATATATGTAGTTGCAGATGATATATAAATTCCTTCCAATGAGGAAAAAGAGAGAGAAAAAAAAATAGTTTTAATATTCGTGTGTTATATATCATTTTTTGATATGCATATTTTTAATATAAAAAGTTTTCTTCTAATTTTTGTGCTTATTTTCGTAAATAATGTCATTCGAGGACAAAAAAATCCACACTATGTGGATAATCGAACGACAATGGTCCATCTGTTTGAATGGAAATTTGATGATATTGCCAAAGAATGTGAACGTTTTCTTGGACCTGCCGGTTATGCAGCTGTTCAGGTAAAATTCTTCGAGTTTATTTTAGTTTTTTTTTTAATTTTACGTTCTATTTGTTTTTTTTTTTTAATTAAGAAAACATTTTTTTTATGATTATAAATAAAATACTTATAAATAATAATATAATTATTATAATATTATAAATATTCTATTTATAATATTAAATATAATTTTTTATCATTTATTTATTGTTAATTTTTATTTTTTTAATTATAAATTCGTTTTTTCTATTTTTAATATCGCAGGTATCGCCAGTAAATGAAAATATGATATTGTCAAAGAGACCATGGTTCGAACGCTATCAGCCAATTTCATATAAAATTGCAACAAGATCAGGCAATGAGTTGGAATTTAAAAACATGGTAAAGAGATGTAACGCAGTTGGAGTTCGTATTTTTGTTGATGTTGTCGTTAATCATATGACAACTGATCAGTCACCAGCAATTGGTACAGGCGATACAAGAGCTGTGCCTCAAAATAGAGAATATCCCACTGTTCCCTATGGACCAAATGATTTTCATCAACAATGCACAATTGCCAATTATAAAAATGCAACTGAAGTGCGAGTTTGTGAATTATCTGGATTACACGATCTCAATCAGACTCGTGAAAATGTCAGAGACGCTATTGTTGATTTTTTGGACAGGTGTGTCGACGCTGGTGTCGCTGGATTTCGGTACGAGAGAAGCTGCATTTTTTTATCATTCCCAGACAGCACGGAAACTTGCAGCAAGCTTGCGGCAAGTTCACCGTGCAAGCTTGCTGTAAGCTTTCCAGGAAAGGTTGCTGTAATCTTTCCATGAAAGATTTCTACAAGATTGCTGCAAGCATACTAAGAATGATTGCGGCAAGCTTGCCGTGAAAGATTGCTGTAAGCTTGCTACGTAAGGTTGCAGGAGAATTTCAACAAGCTTCTGGAAAGGTTGCTGCAAGCTTGCTGCAATTTTTAAAAAATACAATTTAAATTTTTAAAAAATTTATTTGTTTTCTAGATTTGAAAATCCTTGTGACGTTTATTATTATTTATGAGTTAAAAAACAGTTGAAAAACGAGGGTTAAGAGCAAGATTTTTTTATTCTCTGATAGTTAGTCGAGTAGGTTCTCGGTTAGGGTTTTTGGTTAGTGTCTGTCGAACCCGGGTTCAATTCCCAGTCCCCTCAAATTTTCTCTTTAAGTTTCCAAATGAAAAAAAACAGGACATAATTAATAATAATAAACGTCACAAGGATTTTCAAATTTAGAAAACAAATAAATTTTTTTAAAATTTAAATTGTATTTTTTAAAAATTGCAGCAAGCTTGCAGCAACCTTTCCAGAAGCTTGTTAAAATTCTCCTGTAACCTTACGTAGCAAGCTTACAGCAATCTTTCACGGCAAGCTTGCCGCAATCATTCTTAGTATGCTTGCAGCAATCTTGTAGAAATCTTTCATGGAAAGATTACAGCAACCTTTCCTGGAAAGCTTACAGCAAGCTTTCACGGCAAGCTTGCCCTGGGTGGGACATTTTGCTAGCTCAGACAAGCTTGCACGGTGAACTTGCCGCAAGCTTGCTGCAAGTTTCCGTGCTATCTGGATTCTTAATTTAATTTTTTTTTCAAAATTTTTAGTTTTTAATTTTTTAATTTTTAATACAAAAAAAAACAATTTTCAGATTTGATGCGGCGAAACATATGTTTCCAAATGATTTAAAAGTGATTTACGGTCGTATTAAAAATTTGAATACAAAACATGGTTATAAAAAAAATAGTCGTCCATTCATTTATCAGGAGGTAATTGATCTTGGCGGTGAGGCTGTCTCAAAATTCGAATACAATGAATTTGGAACAGTCATTGAATTTGCATTTGGAATAATATTAGGAATGATGTTTCGAAATGAAAAGGAATTAAAAGATTTGGCAAATTGGGGCGAATCTGTTGCTTGGGGATTGTTACCATCGTCCGATGCTGTTGTTATGATTGATAATCATGATAATCAACGTGGTCATGGCGCTGGTGGTGCATCTATTCTTAATTACAAATTTCCCAAACAGTACAAAGTATTTGGCAAAATATATTTTTCATTTAAAAAAAAAAATTTATAATATTTAATCTAAAAATAATAAAATTTAATTTATTATTAACAAAATAGTATTTTTCTAGATGGCACAGGCATTTATGTTGGCCCATCCCTATGGCAATGCAAGAGTAATGAGTTCATTTGCTTTCACCGATCCAAATGCTGGACCACCGGCTGATAAAAATGGAAATCTCATTTCGCCAATTATTAATGAAAATGGCAATTCCTGTGACAATGGTTGGGTATGTGAACATCGTTGGCCACAAATTCGTAATATGGTAATATTTCGAAATATAGTAAAAAATTCTAAACTCACAAAATGGTGGAGCAATGGTAAAAATCAAATTGCTTTTGCTCGTGATCGTCTTGGATTTATTGTATTTAATAATCAAAATCAAGATTTGAAACAACGTTTAGACACTGGTTTACCCGCTGGACGATATTGCGATATAATAACTGGAAATCATGAATCTGATAAAAAAAAATGTTCCGGTAAAACAATTCATATTGATAAAAATGGATTTGCTGATTTTGAAATATCTCAAAATGCAAACGATGGAGTTATTGCCATTCACGTTAATGTAAGACAATATTCTTTATTTGGATTTTTAAATATATTTTTTAAATTATTCCCATTTTTTTTGCAGGCGAAACTTTAAGAAATCGACAATCGTTGCAAGAAATAATGGACAAGATAAAAAGAAAATTTATTAAAAAATATTTGTATAGCTAATTCTTCATTAAATAATTTTATTTCCTAAAAAAAAATTGTTGGAAATTAATTATAAAATTATAATTTCTGCGATAGAAAAAAAAAAAGAATTTTTCCATTTATATATTAAGAGGGAAAAATTATATATTATTGTGCGAAGAATTTGTCATTTAGTGAAAAGTGAAGAAAATTAATGATAACATTTTGCGTTGCAATGTGTCGTTATTTACCAAGCACCTCGTAAAAAGGTGTAACTTGTCCGTTTGTCTGGTATATACGCAAAACAGGTCCATGGGGCGAGCACAAGTCTCTTTATAACAATTTGCATATACGCGACACAAATGCGCCATTAACGTTAACTGAGAAACTTATCAAGTAAATCTCCTCTTTTCATTTTTCAAGGCTTCTCATTTTAACCCTTTTTGTTATTATAGAGCTGCTTTTTTTTTCTTTTTTTTTTTTTTTTGTTTTGAAAGACACTCTTTGCCGCATTCAATTAGGATTTCAAAATAGCTTTCAATTATAGAGTAAATTATATTTTCGCTTAAACAAATTACAATGATACGAATTAAATTAAATTTTAATTGAAACTAACATAAATTTTACCATTATAATTATAATTAAAGTTTTTATTAATTTTACATTTAAATAAATATTTATTAAATAATTTTTAAATATTAATTATATAATAATAAAATGCTTGGTCTGTCATTCTGTCCTAACTTGAAGTTGGCCTTTTCTGATTTCACGTGTTTTTTTTTTGAATAGTAATCTTATGACGTGTCAAATTTTGATAATTCTTTTTCTTCTTTTTTTTCTTTTAAAACTTCAAGTATTTTGTAATTAAAATTTTAGATGATTCCACGAAAAATTTATTAGAAAATGTGGACAAAATACAATAATTTGAAAATCATTTTTAATTGAAAAATGGTTTCAGATAGTTAAATTTTCAAAGAATATTATTAAAATAGTTACAAAATAATTGAATTTCCTTAGAGTTATAATTAAAATTCTTAAATTTCAAAAAAAAAAAAAAAATTTCGATGGAAAATTTTAGAAATAATTAAATTTTAGATGCTTTTAAATTCAAATTATTGAAAATTCAATTAATTTTGAATTCAAATTTTTGAGAATAATGAAATTTTATTTGATTTTAAATTGAAAATTTTTGGGAAATAATTGAATTTTAATTGAAATTTTGGATAATAATTTAATTGAAGTTCATTTTTGATTGAAAATTTGAATAATTAATTTTGAATGGAAATTTTAGAAAATAATTGAATTTCAATTAAAATTTTTCAAAATAATTGAATTTTAATTGATTTTGAATTGGAATTTTGGAAAATAATTGAATTTCAATTAAAATTTTTCAAAATAATTGAATTTTAATTGATTTTCAATTGAAATTTTGGAAAATAATTGAATTTCAATTAATATTAAATTGAAACTTTGGAAAGTAATTGAATTTTACTTGATTTTGGATTGAAAATTTTGAAAATAATTGAATCTTAGTTGATTTTAAATTGCAAATTTTGGAAAATAATTGAATTTCAATTGAAATTTTTGGAAAATAATTGAATTTTAGTTGATTTTCAATTGAAATTTTTGAAAATAATTGAATTTTAGTTGATTTTGAATTGAAATTTTGGAAAATAATTGATTTTGAATTGAAAATTTGGAAAATAATTGATTTTAAATCGAAAATTTTGAAAATAATTGAATTTTAGTTGATTTTAAATTGCAAATTTTGAATAGAATTGAATTTCAATTAAAATTTTAGAAAATAATTGAATTTTAGTTAATTTTCAATTGAAATTTTGGAAAATAATTGAATTTCAGTTGATTTTAAATTGAAAATTTTTAAAATAATTGAATTTTAATTGAAATTTTGGATAATAATTTAATTTAAGTTCATTTTTGATTGAAAATTTGGATAATTAATTTTGAATAGAAATTTTAGAAAATAATCGAATTTTATTTCATTTTAAATTGAAAACTTGGTTAATAATTAAATTTTAAATTGAAATTTTTTGATAATTATTGAATTTTAATTAATTTTGAATTAAAATTTCTTGTAATAATTGAATTTTAGTTTATTTTGAATTGAAATTTTGAAAAAAATAATTCAATTTTATTGTGATATTTTTTTTTTTAAATTATAAACAATTGTTAAATTTAATAAAAATTATAATTGAAAAATAATTTTGATATAATTGAATTTGTGATGTGTATTTCATTAAAATTATTAAAAATACTTAATTTAGTGAAGAATCATTTTAGTTGAAAATTTATTAAATAATTGTATTGAAGAAGATCTGAAGAAGATCTACATTTTATACTAAAAAAAAATGTATTTTATTTACATTTTTTTTCAAATGTAAAAAAAAAATGTCGCATTTTATTATAAAATAAATCGATAAAAGTCGTATAATTCGAGGCCTGTAAACATATAGTTTTCATTATTATCATTTAATATGTAATAATATTCTAATAAATTAAATTATTATTGATAATATTAATCTTTAATTTCTTTATAAAAAGCAATTAAATATTCAATTTGACGCGCGTTTAATTTTGCTAGTTTTATTATAAAGTAATATTAATTTATAACCATCTGTACGATGATTTATTAATATTTTAATAAATAATTTTTTTTTTTTTTATTTTATTATTAAGTCATTGTGAGATCATTATTATAGTGACACAATAGAGTTGGAATATAAATATCTTCCGGAAGTCCACAATTAATAAAACGATCTCGTTCATCTAATATTCCATTTTCCGTTAAAGTTTTATTAAGGTCGACGGGTTTTTCTTCATATTTCCATATATACGAAGCGTTATTTGAATTGAAATTTGAAAATCGTTCTTGAATTCTTCGAATTGTATCTTCCTCACAAACCTATTGGGATTTATTTTATTTAATAATAATAATAAAATAATAATTATAATATTAATTAATCAGTGCTTAACCAACGGAAATAATAGCTTCACATCCTGTGAGAACATTAATAATTCTACAAGGTCTAGGATTTTTTGTTAAATTGCCAATTCTGTATTTATTATCATCCAACCACCAAGGAAATTTATTTATTGATTTTTTTGAATTAAATGATAAAGATGAAATTGAAGCTACATCCGGTATTGGTCCATGTGGACAATATGGCACTAATTTGCCATTTTTTGGATGAATATAATGTTTAATGTCATTTTTTTCACGATCAAACCAATGACTTATGTCCTTTCCGGCATTAGCTAAAATTGGTTTTATTTCTTTCGTTCCCTTCCACAATTGACAAAGTTCAGTGAGATTATAAACACCATTAAAATAGGAAACCCAACAATCATTTAACATATTATGAATGACAACTTCATTTGGTAAAAAAAATGGTAATGTACCAATATTCGAAAATATTCTACAATTACTTATCATTTTCAATTATATATTTATTCTAATCTGTAAAAAAAATCTCAATTTAGTTAAACAATTTCAAATTTTTTTAAACGAAAATTTTTTGAATTTATCCTAAATTCCCGCCAAATTTGTCACTTGCAAGAAATTACCACTTTAAAAATAATATTCAAATTATAAATAATTTATATTTTTTTTTAATAATAAATTATTATAAAAAAAAAAATTGATAATTAATCAAAAAAAAAATTAAATCACACATTTGACTAATGTAGTAAAGCAACTTCCTGTTTTAAGTTTCACGTTTTAATCAAAGTGTAACTTGTATTTAACAAAGTTTTGGTTTTTTTAAACAATTTAGAATGGACGATACTACTGCAAAAAAGGTAATTTAATTTTTAACTAATCTTGACTATAATAAAAATTTTTTTAAATCAATGAAAGTAATTTTAATATTGAAAATAATTGTGTCAACAATTTTCATTAAGAGGTTAGTATTTTCATTGACCGGTTTGCATACAACATTTTAAGAATCAATTGTGTATTTATATTTAACAATGCTGTCTTCATCTGCGGTAATATTTTTATTATTATCTACAATAATAATGTGCGCTTTAATAAATTTAATCAATTAAAAGTATTGAATTTTAATTTAATTAAGGTAAAGTGAAAGTTTAAATGTATTAAAATAATTCTAACCTCAAAATGCTGCAGCTGGTTGAACGCAATGTGTGAATTGACGACAAAAAAAATTTTTTTTTTAATAATTGTTTCTAGAAAAAATGGTATTTTGTCCTTGTGTTTTACAAGAAATTAAATTCTCTATTTTTTAAAATAAAAATTTTGATAATGAATAGTGGTTTATAAACAGGAGAATATGGAATAAAATTAAATGCGTCCTTCCTTTGTCATTCTCAACATAACACGAGATTCACAATATTGTCAATTATTTAACAATTATAGATAATTGATACATTTTTTTAATTTATTAATAAAAAACTAAAATTTTTAGAAAACAAAATTGGGTTTAGTAACATTTTTTTAGGTTTTTAATATTTGGGTACATTTTTTTTTTTTAATTTATACATACTGTCTTTTTTATATGTAAATTGGTTTTAGAAAAGTAAATATTAAAGTATTTTATTTTATTTTACGTTTTGAATCTGAATAAAAATTATTAACACTGTTGCTTAATATTACGAAACTCGTGAATTTTTTTCCATTACAAACAATTGATATTTCAAAATTGTCAAAATTCAAATGTTTCAGTTTGTCATTTTAATATTTCAAAATTGAACATTTTTTTTTCCATTAAATTATAATTTCATAATTGATGACAATGTTTCCTGCATTATTCACAACACAAAATAAAGATCCTCGGGTATCAGAATCTATTTTCTCAAAAATTGGCGATTCTAAAGGAATTAGTTTATTTAATACGGTTTGCTTAATTTTTGCGAAGCCTTTTTATTTCCTCCATAATCTCAAGAGTTTTTTTTCTATATTTAATTTTTGAATTTAATTTTTTGAAATTTCTTTTTTTAGGTTCAAGAATATAAGGATTCACTGAAAACGAAGGTAATATTTTCGTTTTTTTTTTTTCATTTAAAAAAAATATATATATAAATATTGATTGATCTTTTTTTTTTTTTTTTGCAGGCTGAACAACTTATTGTCAAAGGATTTCCGGAGAAAATTGTTAAACTAAATGAACTTTTAGAAACACCAGGTTTTACTCATCAAGATCTATCGAAAGTTCATCAGGAATTAAATATACCCATTCCAGAGCCGATACTTCTGAATCATTCCCAGGAAGGACCACCGTCAAAAAGAGCGCGAGTTGATAACAATTTAGAAGATGTACCTGGTACTAAAGTTATGGTCCTTCCCAATGGACCAGTTCCATGTAATAAACCCATCTGCGATATCATTTACATAGTGAAACCGTACATTAGACAACTTTTAGAAGATTCAAATCTTGTAAGTCACATTTTTGAGATCAATTTTTTGTCTTCAATTTAAAAAAAAAATTACTACTTAATTTTTTTTTCCAGTTGAAAATGTGGATTTCATTTATGATTCCGAAAATTGAAGACGGAAATAATTTTGGTGTCTCAATTCAAGAAGACACTCTCGCTGAAGTTCAAGCTGTCGAGAGTGAAGCCGCTGCCTTTTTCGATCAAATTTCCAGGTAATTATTAAAATAAAATTATTATTCTGATGGAAGAAAAAAAAACTATTAATAATTATTTAAATTTAATGTCAATAGGTATTTTGTATCGAGGGGAAAAATTTTGAGTAAAGTGGCTAAATATCCACATGTTGCCGATTATAGGCGAGCAATTCAGGAGCTTGACGAAAAAGAATACGTCAGCTTGTGCCTCGTTATGTGTGAAATTCGCAACAGGTATTGCGCACTTCACGATCTTGTTCTTAAAAATTTGGAAAAAATCAAACGACCTCGATCGTCAAACTCTCAATCTCTGTATTAATTAATTTTAATGGCTTTTTTCAATTAATAAAAGTTGATAAATATGACTCACAGTGTAAAAAAAAAAGAAAAATTCGGGTTAAAAAAAAGGTTTCGCGTGTAAATTTTATCGCACATGAGTTATTATTTAATTTGCTCATTTATTTAAATCATTCATCTCCGTTTTCACCTAGATCTCTCTTTTTCTCTCTCTCTTTCTCTCTCTACATATAAATATATATATAGTAAATTTGTTAAAGAAACATATAATTGCTCGTGTTTTATATTTTCCATGCTTCTTTTTTTTAATACATATACACGAATTAATCATTGCGGGAAATATTTTCTCTTTAAAATAATTTTCTTTTAGAAACAAAAATTTTTTTTATTAATTTTCCCGTGGAGATTAAGAATCAAAAAATATATATATATATATATTCAGTGCTTTATTTTTAAACTATATTAATCGAAATAATTTTTTTTTTTTGAATATTTTACTGTTTGAACATCAAACGATGTAACAACTCTAAAAAAAAAGTTTTTTTTTCATCGCGAATAATCTTCATCATTTAAACAAATATTTTGTAGATATATTGAATTTTTGAAGAGAAAAAAAACAGTATTTCAGTGATATAAGAATCATTTCAATGTAATTGTAATTTTAACTATTTGATAAATTATTTATCATAATTAGTTTACTGTTCTGAGATTCCATATGAAGTTAATTAAAAAAAAAAAAATGTTCCTCTCGAAAAATATTAATGTTTAATTATTGAAAAAAAGCAATCTTGTAATACTGTCATGTCAAAATATACATAATTATATAATTTCAAAGTACTCTTTTTAATTTCCTTAAACCAATTCTAATTAATGAATAAGGAAAAAGAAATATATTTTTTGTTTTGAGAATAATCTGTATTTACAAATTACAAAAATGCGCAGTATAAAAATTGCACTAATCAAGGTTTTAAAAACCTTTTGCAAAATACAGAATTTATCAAAAATCCTCCTCCTCCTCCTTCTCGTTGGATGAATTAATCATCGATAAATATTCGACAATAAATCGAATGATAAAAATCGAAATAATGTCGATTTTATCGACAGTAACACATAGAATTGTTTTTATTTTTTTAATATATAATATATAATTATTACTAGAAATCTCTTTTTCTAAAATATTCGATAAAAAACAGTCTTTACAAACATTTTATGAATCAACACAATAAATAAACATGATATAGTAAAAAAAAAAAAAAAATTAAATTAAATTAACATACACTTACTTGGGAGTAAAAAATTAATTGGAATAAATTCTTTAAACGTTAATAGACTGAAAAAAAAAATTATCAAAAAACAGTCTTTTAACATGTTACGAATTTTAAATACTTTAAACAACGAAATGATAAAAAAAATTCGAAGACTTACATTCTAATTTACAATAATTTAACAAAAGTTGTAAAAAAAATCTCAATAATAATGTTAAGAGATTGAAAAAAAAAGAAAAAACAATCTCTTAACATACATTGACTGTATTACTGTATTACTTCATACAGTAAATACATTAAATTAAAAAAATGCAAAATATTGAGCAAATACATTTTGCCTTATGAACGAAAGACGAAGCACATATGAAATAATGAAAGTTAGAAGACGTACATTATCTTAAGATTCTAATTTCTAACAATTTTTCTACGAGAAAAAAAAAAATTAAACATTGATATTTTAATCAACATTAGTTGAATTGACTTCATTTTTCCTTTAATTTTTTACACTGGAATTTAAGTAATTAAGAGAGATTCTTTTAAGAATTATACAAATATTTTTAGAAAATTTTCTCCTATACATTCAGTAATTTTTTTTTATTTATTTCAATTATTTATAAATTATTTATAAAAGAATAGAATTTAATTTTAATTTAACTAATTTTTTTCTATAGAAACATAATAAATTTAATTTTAAACTATTGTTCGAATTTTTTACATCATTCTATTAGTTTTTCATAATAGAGCTTTGGAAAAATATTCAACAAAATAATTTCAAATTTTTTTTTTTCAAATAGAAATCTTAGAAAATAAATTTAAAATAATAAAATAATTTCTAAACAAAATTAATTAGACTTAAAATAATGTTAACAAGTAAAATTTAAACTAGATTTTTAACGATATTTATCACATATTTCACAATTCGAAAAAAAAATTGACAAAATTTTCTAATTAATTTTAGTTGAATTTTAAAAACAAGAAAATATTCTGAAAACTAATTTTATAGAACAATAAATAGAATTAAATAAATTTAAATAGAACAATAGTTTAAAAGATTAAATGAAATTTGAATTAACGTTTTGTTTTGAATTTTTAGTGATTAAAAATAAAATATAATTATTTACTTTATATAAAAGAAAATTTCATAAGTACATTGTATAAGACCTTCAAAATTAAGGGCATTTTATTTATTTAATATTTTTCAATATTGTTATTATTTTAATCACCATCAGGAGAGTAAATTAAATTTTTCAATAAATTATTAATATTTCAATTTTGATTTACTTTTGTTTGATTTTTAATTTAATTATTAAATGCTATTTTATTTATAATTTGAATTTGATTAGTTGATTTTTAAATTTATTTTTACCTATTGTAAATATTTGATTCAAATGAGGTATCTGAAAATTTTTTAAAGTCTCCTCAGATAAATGTTGCCCTTAATTAAAAAAAAAAAAATTTTCCAGCGTTAAAAAAAATAATTTTCTCTTTGGTAAATAAGAGAAATTCAATTTAATTATTGAGCATCATTAAAGTATCCAGGATTTAAGTAACAGTACTTGTTGAATCCCATACTGGCCGTGGTAACAGTTTGACACATTTTACCTTCAGTTCTCAAAAGTTTTACTTCTTGGTCAACCTATTTATTAAAAGCGAAAAAAAAAAAATTAGTTATAATTTAAAGAAAAAAACGTTTATTATTATCTATTTAAAAATTATTAATTTATTTTTTTTCTATTTTATTTTAAAAATTTTAAAAAAAATGAAACCAATTTTTTTTTTTAAAAAAGAGATAAATTTATGTGAAATTACGTTTTTCAAAAAATAATTACTATTATGACTCACTCTGTCTATGAGATCCTTTAAATGTTTATGATAAGCCTCCCTCATGAATACCTTGCAAAGAATTTGAATGAACCAAGCACCGGTAATTGTGTCTCTATATGAATAATGACCAGGAACAGTAGAATGAACAATTAATGTATCTTCATAATTTCTGTGCAATGTATCCTCAACATTAAGACTATCTTGTTCTTCATTTTCATAAACAGGTGGTACATTTGGTGTACCATCTGTGGAAAATCTTGGAACCGAAGCCTGATGTCTATTTCCTCTGTTAAAAAAAAAAAAAAAAATGCCAATAGAATTTTTTTTTAAATTAATCGATAAATTAAAAAAAAAACAAATTGAAAATAAAAAAATTTTACCTGCACATTTGAAAAATAAAAACTTTTGGTTTTCCTTTTAAAAATGGACAATTTTTCGAACTAAAATGTTCAATAATTTCTGAACAATAAATCTTTTCATTTGATGGTAATTCATTTATGGTACATTCGCTTGTTTGAATTTCAGCATCCCAACGTTTTCCCGCCTCTTTTCCATGGCAGGAAAATATTACAAAGCATGAATCAACTTTAAGAAATTCTTTTTTCTTCGCAAATTCTTGAATGATCTCTCTCAATTCCTTTAAATAAAAATTAATAACAATTAATTTTGTTTTCAAACAAAAAAAAAAAAAAAAAAAAAATTAAGAAATTAAAAATAAATTTTTAATCATACATTTCTTTCCAAATATTCCGGAGTAACAGTGACATCAAAACCCATTTCTTCAAATAGCTTCCTTAAATTAACTCTGTCATGATTGGCACTTTCTCGTGAATCTAAAAAGAGATATTTCGTGATGCAAACAATCAAAACCAATCCACGGGGTTTACTTCGCATTATATATTTTTCCAAATCCTTTTTTCCTGTTATTGGTACATCTAAAAATGATTTTGATTTTTTCACCACAATTTTTAGTGGTTCATTCTCATATATGAAGCTAATTGAAGAATCACTGAAAATAAATTATTAATTTTTTAAAAAATTATTATTTTTTTATAATAAATTAAATTGCTTATTTAATTTAGTTTATTGAAAAAAAATAATTTTTTTTTTTTTTTTACAAAAATACTAACTTCTCTTTAAAATCTTCATCATCAGAAGAGTTAGTTGACGATGTTGCATTGTCCTCGGAACTCATTCTTTTTTGTGATTGAATAATGGAATCGATATTCAATTGGCTTAAATTTTTCGCCAAATCGTCATAACCACATTGTTCCAAACTAGTTACAAAATTTTTAAATGCATACGGTCCTCTTGTTTTAATGCAATTAATTATTTGCTTTTTTGTGTCATAATTATTTAAATTCTCCTAAAAAAAAAGAAAAATATTTTTTGTATAATATTTTATATTATTATTATTATTATTATTATTTTATTTATTAATTAATATCAAAATAATATTATTACCTAATAAAAATATTAATTATTTAATAATATTATTTTATCCAAAAAAATATTTGAAAAAAAAAAATATTATTTCATTAAAAACAAAAAAAAAAAAACCTACTTTCCAGGCAGCGATGTTGCAGTCATCAAAATTAAAAATTCTGTTCTCTAACAATTTTGCCCATAATATATTCATATCTACTTCACCTGCGATTTTCTCGTAGGATAAATCTATTCTTTTACGATCATTCTCGTTCATTGTTGTAAATTATTATTGTTGTTCTGATGAAAAATCTGAAAAAGACAAAATTTGCTCCAAAATAGAGAAAAAAAAACATTTTTTTTTTAAAATTAGAAAAACTATTTTCTAATCAATAAATTTTTTTTAATAAAATGCTAAATATTGCATCAGCCAATATTAGGGATTGTCCATAATCTGCGTTACTCTTTAGTGAAAACTATGTCAAAAAGGGAGCTTAAAACTCCAAAAATTAGAACAACGCAGATGTTGCGTAGGTGAATTTTACCCACGGTCACAATTATTTTACAAATATATAAAAAAAAAATAAACAAAAGAATTTTTTTTTAATTAACTAATTACTAATTATTAATTATTATTAATTACTAATTAGTAATTATTAATTAGTTTTTTATCTTTAATTTTCACATTTGTAATATTTTACAAAATACTAATTTTTTTCATTAAATTCATCCCAATTGAAAAAATTGTTTTAAATATAACAAAAATAAACAATTAGAAATTGTTAATAAAAGTGAAATATCCTTTTTTTTCTTCAAAAATTTAAATAAATGGTAAAAATTCAACAAAAAAATGAAAGTAAAAATATAAGATTATAAAAAAAAATGAAAAAAATTAATATAAATAATAATTTTTACTGTAAAACACATGTTGCATTTGACAAGTGTATATAGGTAATTGTTATTGTATATACAGTAACTAAGAGTTCATTGTACTTGTTAATAAATTAATTATAAGAATTTTATGAAAAACACTTACAAAGAATATGGATTTTGATGAAAATTGTAAGTTTTTTTTTTTTTTTTTAATTTTTTAGCAAAAAATCAACAGGTTTTGACAGGAATTAGCACCACTAGAAAGGTTATTGCCTGGTCACTTACAGGGTCATTTACAGACAAAAGTGGAAAGCAAACCCAGAGAATGGAGTGACTCAATGTTAACAGTGTTGCCATAATACAAAGAATGTAAATTTTGCTACGTTGCCATATAAAATTTTAATGATCCCTTAAAATTATTCTTGAGGAGAATAGAATTAATTTTGAATTAAATAAATTTTTAATAATTTAATAAAATAATTAAAATAATCATTTTTTCTAATTAATAAATATAAAATAATTATTTATAGAATTAATAAACAAGAAAAATTAAATGTAACCATTTGAACAAATTCAAATACTGCGCAATGAAAATCCCACCTTAATTTTAAGGCGGTTTATAAAGAAGTCATGCGCAATTATTGTGGCGGGAAATAATAACTAGGAATTTTCATTATTATTCTTCGTGTAAATACAATGTCCTATATAGATATATATTCTATTACATTATAGAGGAAAATAGGGATTTTTCCGTATATTTAAAAATATATTTTCTATTTTAATTTTATTTTTTTTTTTATTTTAATTTATTGTTATTTCATATTTAATATTGATATTACTAAAAGAAGAAATAATATAAATATTAAACACAATTTAATAAAAAAAAATTTTAATAATTTTTGTTATCATTTTGCAAAATCTTGAAACAAAAACAATTCAATGAAAAGATAATAATTATAAGTACCACGTAAATGATGATATTAAAATATTTGAAAAAAAAAATTTTTTTTCAATGAAAACAAAAACAGATATTGTATTTTTGACTGGATTACTGGATTAACAAGGCTCAAGTGTATTAGAAATTTTTTTAAAATTTGTCAAATTCATTTTAAGAATTATATTTTTCTAAAATATATGAAATTAATATATTTTTCATAAATAAAAAATTAATAATCATAATAATTAATTATAAATAATAAGTATAATAATTAATTATAAATAATAATTTTTAATTAAAAATAAATTATCCACTATTTGAGATTTTTCAATTTTTAACATAAAAATTTGAAACATTATTTTTTTTTTTAATGCGCAAAGTGTCAAAATGAAATTTCACTTATTAAAAGTCATTCACGTTTATAAAATGACATCAGCACAAAATTTATTCCATTTCATGAAAATGTATTTGAATTAGCTATTTTTTTATTATTATTATATTTATATTCCATATCAGTTTCTATACTTAAGACGTTTGACACGTCACTTTTTAGTTATAAGAAAGTGCTTATGTTTTTAACGATTCAGTTCTACTTTGAACGTTTAAACGAAAATGTGTCTCATTTTCAAGTGACAATTAACTTTTTTTTTTTTTTGTTTTTTTTTTCAATAATTGATACAAACATTATAAATAGTTATAACAACAATTTGTAATTTTATTTATTGTTTAATTAATTAACTTGATTAAAAAAAATATATATTTTTATTTAAAAAATAAAATTTTAAAGTGAGATTTAGCTTCTTTTTATTGGATTAGAAGTAATTAACTTCAGTTTTCATATTTATACAGTGAAATTTTTTATAAAAAATGGATAACACCGAAATTAAACTAAAACAAAGTCCACTTAAAAATGCAAATATCATCAGTAAACTTAATTTTTGGTATGTAATGTTTGGAATCATTTGTCAGTGAATTCTAATTATTTTTTTGAAATATTAATCATTTAATTTTTCCTCGTTTTACGTATTTATTTATTTTTAAATTTTATTTACATTTAAACTTTAATTTTTCTTATTTTACGTTTGTTTTCAATTTTATTTACATTTAAACTTTAATTTTTCTTATTTTACGTTTGTTTTCAATTTTATTTACATTTAAACCTTAATTTTTCTTTAAATTTTAAACTGTTTTTTTTTAAGTTCTATTTATTTGACGAATATTATTTATTTTGTCACTGATAAGCAGTTTTACTTTATTATATTTTAAATTAATTTTTCTTTATTTTTATACTTTGTCTTCGATAAATTCTTGAAAAATTAAAAAAAAATTGATGATAAAAATTTAATGAATATTTTTTTTTATTCATTAAATTATTATTTAAAGTAATTAAAATTCTTTATGTCCTAATTATTATTTAAAGAAAGTTTTACTTTTTTTCTACAAAAAAAAAAAAAATAGTGCCTTTAATACATTTGGTATTATATAATTTAATCTAATGTTAATATTCTCATTATAAATATGATATATATAGATAAGTATAGTTTGAATAGATAAAGAAAATTTTTTATCTTTACACTTAAGTTGCTTTTACTATCTTTAATTGATTTTCTAACAAATGTCAAATCATTCGATAATTTCTAAACAAATGAAAAAGCATTTTACAATTTTCCTTGTAGCATTTCTTTTTTAATTATTTAAAAAAACAAAATTTACTTTTCATATAAAATGGGAAAAAAAAATTTCCCTCTAAGAATTAAATAAATTTATTTATTTGTTTAAATTAAATAGTACTTTAATTGTGAGAGTAATATATTTGTAGTTAATAAATGAAAAATAAATTAAAACATAAAAAAGATCTTAAATTTGAAAATTTAATTTTTTTTTGGGAAAATGATTATTTCACAGGTGGTTAAGAAAATTATTATGGCACGGAGTAAAGAGAGATTTGCAGATGACCGATTTATTTGAACCATTGGAAAGAGATAAATCTCATTATGTAGGGAATAAGTTAGAAAGGTGAACAAAAATATAGTAATTAATAAATAATTACTTAATGTAAATAGTAAATTAAGTATAATTTTAACACATTTTTTATAAATTATTTATAAATTATTTATAAATTATTTATAAATTATTTATAATAAATTATTCAATATTATTTAATAATAATTTATAAATTATTTAATTAAATTATTTATTTAAATATCAAATATTAACAAAATTTTTTTCTATTTTACTAGAGAATGGGATAAAGAATTGGAAAAAATGAAATTAATAGAATACGAATTAAAAGAGAATGATGGGAAAAAAGTGAAGAAAAAACGAAAAATGCCAAATTTAACATGGGCATTAATTCGATGTTTCAAATGGGGTTTAATGGTGCACGCATTTTTCCTACTGATTTTTATTCTTATTTTGCAAACATTTTTGCCAGTTCTTCAAAAATGGGTGATAGGATATTTTAAAGATGGTGAAACAGGTGGAACGGAAACAAAAGAGGAAGCATTAAGTTACGCTGCTGGATTAGTGATTTTTATTTATCTCAATGCTGCTTTTTTGCATCATACTAATCAATTTTCTCAGCATATGGGCATGAGAGTTAGAGTAGCATGTTCTGCTTTAGTTTATAGAAAGGTAAGTTAATATTATACCCCAAAACTTGAGGGAATTATATTTTTTCAAAAAATTTAATTCAATATTACCCCAATATTAAAATAATTCACAAATATATTGCAAATTTTGGAATTTAAAAAAAATATTTTTCAAAAAAAAAAAAAAATGCCAAAATATTGTAGGGCATTATTCTTCGCAACGCGAGTATTGTTATTTTAATATTTCGTAAATAATTTTTAAGAAAAACTTAGAAAAAAATGTATTGAATAATGAATTAAAAAGAATTGTTAACTACTCGTGTCTCCTAGTTTAACATTGAAATTTGCCTTTTTTAACCAAATTATTATTCATAGACCTTGTGTCGAACTTTGCTGATAACTGTTAATGACCCTCGCGAATGTTCATACACGATTAATACATGAGAGCTTCGATAATTATCTATTTTCCAACGAAATAGAGAAAATAACAACAATAATAATAAGATAACAAAATATGTAAAGAGAATACAAAATTCATAATAGTTAATAATTTTTGTTAAATTTTTATTTATTTTAAAAATTAAAGTGAAAGATTTAAAATTCTCGATTTTCTTAATCATAAGCGGAAATGATTTTCATTATTCTAAAAAAAAATATCTTTTATCTATTTAACATTTTTTCAATTAAATTATCTTTGACCCTATATTTACATTTTCTTACTATCGTTATATTTTGATAGCAAATTATTATTTCACTCTAAATTTTGTTAATATTATTAAACAAATTTAGAGAGAAATAAATTATAAACAATTTTTTTGTAAAATTTAATTATTTCTTAAAATTTAAATTAATTTCAAAAATTGCATTACAGCTTTTAAGACTTAGTAAATCTGCTCTTGATAAAACAGCAGCTGGACAAATAGTAAATCTTCTTAGTAATGATGTTGGTCGTTTTGATTTGACACTAATGTACCTTCATAATATTTGGATAATGCCTTTTCAAGTATGTATAATTTATATATAAATTTATCACATTTTTCTAAAACAAAGGATATTTTCCTTTTTCCTTGAAACAATTAACAATATAAATAAACAATTGTGACAGAAAAAAGAAAGAAATAACTTCAATAACTTCATTTAAAATTATACAAATTTTATAAAGAAAAAACAGATTTCAACATAAATTATACTTTGATTTAAATTTTTCCAAATATTTCTAAAACCTAGTTATTTTTAATTTTGAAATTATTAAAATTAATATTAATATTTAATATTAAATCGACAGCCAAATCTGAGTAGAGGAAGACCATTTTTATGACCAAAAACGCATCCAAAAGCATAAAAATGTTCCCAAAAAAATTCAATTTTTCTTAGGCAAACGATTTTATTGCATATTCTTGCACAAAATACACCGAAAAGTGTAGAAAAAAATCGACAGCCAAATCCGAGTAGAGGAAGACCATTTTTATGACCAAAAACGCATCCAAAAGCATAAAAATGTTCCCAAAAAAATTCAATTTTTCTTAGGCAGACGATTTTATTGCATATTCTTGCACAAAATACACCGAAAAGTGTAGAAAAAAATCGACAGCCAAATCCGAGTAGAGGAAGACCATTTTTATGACCAAAAACGCATCCAAAAGCATAAAAATGTTCCCAAAAAAATTCAATTTTTCTTAGGCAGACGATTTTATTGCATATTCTTGCACAAAATACACCGAAAAGTGTAGAAAAAAATCGACAGCCAAATCCGAGTAGAGGAAGACCATTTTTATGACCAAAAACGCATCCAAAAGCATAAAAATGTTCCCAAAAAAATTCAATTTTTCTTAGGCAGACGATTTTATTGCATATTCTTGCACAAAATACACCGAAAAGTGTAGAAAAAAATCGACAGCCAAATCCGAGTAGAGGAAGACCATTTTTATGACCAAAAACGCATCCAAAAGCATAAAAATGTTCCCAAAAAAATTCAATTTTTCTTAGGCAGACGATTTTATTGCATATTCTTGCACAAAATACACCGAAAAGTGTAGAAAAAAATCGACAGCCAAATCCGAGTAGAGGAAGACTATTTTTATGACCAAAAACGCATCCAAAAGCATAAAAATGTTCCCAAAAAAATTCAATTTTTCTTAGGCAGACGATTTTATTGCATATTCTTGCACAAAATACACCGAAAAGTGTAGAAAAAAATCGACAGCCAAATCCGAGTAGAGGAAGACCATTTTTATGACCAAAAACGCATCCAAAAGCATAAAAATGTTCCCAAAAAAATTCAATTTTTCTTAGGCAGACGATTTTATTGCATATTCTTGCACAAAATACACCGAAAAGTGTAGAAAAAAATCGACAGCCAAATCCGAGTAGAGGAAGACCATTTTTATGACCAAAAACGCATCCAAAAGCATAAAAATGTTCCCAAAAAAATTCAATTTTTCTTAGGCAGACGATTTTATTGCATATTCTTGCACAAAATACACCGAAAAGTGTAGAAAAAAATCGACAGCCAAATCCGAGTAGAGGAAGACCATTTTTATGACCAAAAACGCATCCAAAAGCATAAAAATGTTCCCAAAAAAATTCAATTTTTCTTAGGCAGACGATTTTATTGCATATTCTTGCACAAAATACACCGAAAAGTGTAGAAAAAAATCGACAGCCAAATCCGAGTAGAGGAAGACCATTTTTATGACCAAAAACGCATCCAAAAGCATAAAAATGTTCCCAAAAAAATTCAATTTTTCTTAGGCAGACGATTTTATTGCATATTCTTGCACAAAATACACCGAAAAGTGTAGAAAAAAATCGACAGCCAAATCCGAGTAGAGGAAGACCATTTTTATGACCAAAAACGCATCCAAAAGCATAAAAATGTTCCCAAAAAAATTCAATTTTTCTTAGGCAGACGATTTTATTGCATATTCTTGCACAAAATACACCGAAAAGTGTAGAAAAAAATCGACAGCCAAATCCGAGTAGAGGAAGACCATTTTTATGACCAAAAACGCATCCAAAAGCATAAAAATGTTCCCAAAAAAATTCAATTTTTCTTAGGCAGACAATTTTATTGCATATTCTTGCACAAAATACACCGAAAAGTGTAGAAAAAAATCGACAGCCAAATCCGAGTAGAGGAAGACCATTTTTATGACCAAAAACGCATCCAAAAGCATAAAAATGTTCCCAAAAAAATTCAATTTTTCTTAGGCAGACGATTTTATTGCATATTCTTGCACAAAATACACCGAAAAGTGTAGAAAAAAATCGACAGCCAAATCCGAGTAGAGGAAGACCATTTTTATGACCAAAAACGCATCCAAAAGCATAAAAATGTTCCCAAAAAAATTCAATTTTTCTTAGGCAGACGATTTTATTGCATATTCTTGCACAAAATACACCGAAAAGTGTAGAAAAAAATCGACAGCCAAATCCGAGTAGAGGAAGACCATTTTTATGACCAAAAACGCATCCAAAAGCATAAAAATGTTCCCAAAAAAATTCCATTTTTTCTTAGGCAGACGATTTTATTGCATATTCTTGCACAAAATACACCGAAAAGTGTAGAAAAAAATCGACAGCCAAATCCGAGTAGAGGAAGACCATTTTTATGACCAAAAACGCATCCAAAAGCATAAAAATGTTCCCAAAAAAATTCCATTTTTTCTTAGGCAGACGATTTTATTGCATATTCTTGCACAAAATACACCGAAAAGTGTAGAAAAAAATCGACAGCCAAATCCGAGTAGAGGAAGACCATTTTTATGACCTTTAAAGCGTTTGTCGTAAAAAATAATTTTTAAAAAAATTCAATTTTTCTTAGGCAGACTATTTCATTGCAAATTCTTGCACAAAATATACCTAAAAGTGTAGAAAAAAATTGACACCCTGATACGAGTAGAGGAAGACACCTATTATTAGCCTTAAGTCAAGCCCTATCATGAGAAAATTCTCAAAAATTTTAATTTTTCTTAGACAATTTTTACCGTTTGTTGCATTTTTAACAGTTTTTAACTACCTAATAGTTAATTTTGACCCCAAAGCCTTCATCTTCGAATGAATATATATCTAGAATGACTATGGAAAAAATTTGAAAGCTCTTAATATTCGCACAGAAGCTTGAACAGACAAATAAATGCCTTGTACTTTATTATTATTAATTATATTAATTACATATAATTAATTTCATGAACCAAATTTAATTAATTGAATTTTAATTTATAGGTGGTAATTGTTGCCTTTATTATGTGGCAATACGTAGGATATTCGACTCTTGCAGCACTTGCAACTGTTATTGTTCTCTCTGCACCAGTTCAAGTTAGTCTTTCCTATATTGGCAATAAATTAAGAACAAAAATAGCCCCATTAACCGACAAAAGAGTTCAACGTATGAACGAATTAGTTCAGGGCATTCAAGTAAGTTTCTCCTATTGATAAACGATAATCGATTTATCGAAATATATTGAAACCAATAAAATATTTCGATATATCTTTCGATACTTCGATTCAAACTCGGATAACTCGATTTTTATATCGATAGTTTTCGATATATTATTCGATGTCTATACAGTAATCGAAATTTCGATAGAATTGATACTATCGATATATCTATCATTATTTATATAAATTCGATATTTTTATCGATAGTTCGATATATTAATTGATTTCTCGATTTCAATTTTTTTTTAATATCAAAAATTGTCTAAATTAAATAATTTTTTTCTTTTTATTAATTAATAGGTGGTAAAAATGTACGCATGGGAAAAATCATTTGAAAAAATGGTCTCACTTCTTCGTGCCAAGGAAGTATTGAATTTAATGTATATGGCAATTGTACGTGCAACATATTTAAGTGGTATTGTTTTCACTGAAAGAGCAATATTATTTGTCACATTGACAGTATTTGTTTTAACGGGCAATATACTTAATTCTGAAATAAGTTTCACTATGGCTGTTTATTGTAATATTTTACAAAGAGCCATGTCAATTTACATACCAAATGGTTTACAATTTTTATCCGAAATGTTAGTATCAATAAAACGTTTAGAAAATTTTCTTCTACTTGAAGAAATAAGTCCAATTACAAATAGTATTGATTGGAAAAATAATTATGATAAAAATAATAAAATTGAATTTCATAATAATGATATTTTCTATTATGGTAAAAATAATGAGAATGGTAAAAAAATTTCACATGAAATTATTGAAAATAATCCTGTTAAAGTTGAATTAAATAGAGCGTGTGCCAATTGGATAGTGGGTCAATTACCACCGACACTTTGTAATGTTTCATTAAAAGTACCACAGGGACAACTTTGTGCACTTGTTGGTCCAGTTGGTTCGGGAAAATCGGCAATATTACATCTTCTTATGAAAGAATTACCCCTTGGTGCAGGAAGTGTTTCACTTCGACAAAATTATAAAAATGGCGATACAGAAAATGAAATATTTCGCGGTTTTTATATTGATAATCCAAATATAAAAATTTCTTACGCAAGTCAAGTGCCATGGATATTTACCGGTACAATAAGGGAGAATATTTTATTTGGTAATACCTATGATAAAATTCGTTACGATGAGGTAACAAAAGTTTGTGCATTGAGGCCTGATTTTAAACAATTTGCATACGGTGACATGACACATGTTGGTGATCGTGGTGCAACACTTTCCGGTGGTCAAAAAGCACGTGTTAATTTGGCAAGGGCAATTTATAGAGAAGCCGATCTTTATCTTTTGGACGATCCTTTAAGTGCCGTTGATACACACGTTGGACAGGATTTATTTGAAAAATGTATTTTAGATTATCTCAAGGGAAAAACACGTATTCTCGCAACACATCAAATACATTTTCTATCACGTGCCGATATTGTTGCTATTATCGAACGAGTAAGTATTTAGAAAACTAATTATTGCGTTGCTAAATACAGAATGGAAATTCGTTTTTTTTTTAGGGTACCATCAAATATCAAGGTTGTTACAATGACATACGTTCATTAGACTCGGAATTTATGAAAGTTTTGGAAAGTCAAACGGATGATGAATTAGCTGACACTGAACAAGATGAACCAGATGAAATTTCATCTAAAAGAAAAATTAAAAAATCCACAAGCATCAGAAGACGAACATACAGTCAAACATCGAGAAAATCAAATACATCAAATTCGGTAAAGAATTTTGAATACCAAAATTTCTGAAACATACAATGTTATTTATTTATTTTTTTTTTTCTTAAAGGAATTGAATACAACTTCTCAAGATCAAATTAATATTGTAACTGTTGATAAAGAGGAAGAGGAGGAAATGCAAAAGGGTTCAATGGGTTTAAAAATATTTTATCGTTATTTATCGTATGCGGGAAATTGTTGCACAATACCATTACTTGTATTTCTTTTGATACTCTCGCAAGCTGTTACAAGTGGTTCTGATTATTGGGTCAGTTATTGGAATCAATTGGAGGCATTGAGAAATGATATTGAAAATAATAGAACAGCGGCAATTAAAAATGAAAATCATATCTTTTCATTTTTACAATATGATAAAAATGGCCTATTAAGTACAACAAATAGTATTTATATTTATGGTGTACTTTTAGCGTTGTGTATGATTATTAATTTTTTACGTGCAACAACATTTATTGGTACATGCACCATTGCTGGGAGAAATTTACATAATTCCATGTTTGCAAATCTTTTACACGCAAGCATGAATTTTTTCGATACAAATTCATCAGGTTATTTTTTTTTCTATTTATTTACACTGAGAAAAATATATGCTATATTTAAACAATAGCATTTCTGCCAAAAGATATAAAAATTCAAATAGAATCTATAAAATATTTTATTTATAATATAATATCAATAATTTTTATACCTTTGGCAAAAATGCTGTTGATTCAATATAGCATATTTTTCTCAGTGATAATATTATTTAATTAATACTGAACAAAAAAAAATGAAAATTGATTCATCAAAATTTTAGGGCGAATTTTAAATAGATTTACCAAAGATGTTGGTACAATGGATGAATTATTACCAAATGCACTTGTTGAAGGATTGCAAATATTTTTCGTCATGTTGGGTATTTTTGTTATGGTAACAATTGTCAATTATTGGATGATAATTCCAATTGTAATAATGATGTTACTTTATAATCAAATGAAAAATTACTATTTAAAAAGTGCGAGAGTACTTAGAAGACTCGAGGGTATCAGTAAGTAATAAAAATAATAATTTTTAGGGTTTCGTGACCCAAGGCCGAAAGCCTTATAGTTTCACTTTGTCGTCTGTCCGTCCGTCCGTCATACACTCGTACGGTTGCCATAGTAACAGTTAGATACTATGGCAACAGTTACTATGGCAACAGTTACTATGGTAACAGTTACTTACTATGGCAATAGTTACTTACTATGGCAATAGTTACTATGGCAATAATTACTATGGCATAATTTATTATATACAAATAACTTTTGATATGAATTTAATAAGCCACGAAACCCTAGATGTAGGCGCTTTCTCGCCTGTTTCTTTTCCTGATTTTTTAAAAATTATTTTCTATAATTGAATTATATATTTAATATAGGTAAAAGTCCAGTATTTTCATATATTACATCGAGTTTAAATGGATTAACAACAATAAGAAGTTGTGGACCCGAAATGGAAGTTCGCCTAAGACGTGAATTTGATTCACTTCAAGATACTCATACAAGTTCTTGGTCACTTATTGTGGCAACAATCAATTGTCTTGGCTATTATCTCGATTTGATTGTTTGCGTTTTTATTGCTTGCGTTACATTCTCGTTAATTTTGATACGTAAGTTATTGATTTAATTTAGTAAAAATATTTAATATTAGTAAGGAAAATTTTTTTCTTCCATCAGATGAAAGTAGTGGTGCCAATGTTGGATTAGCAATATCGCAATCATTAATTTTATCCGGTATGTTACAATACGGTGTAAGACGTCTTGCTGAAACAATATCGTACATGACGTCAGTTGAAAGAATTATACAATACACTGATCTTCCACAAGAAAAGCCATTGGAATCATCGACATCAATACAACCAACATGGCCAACAAAGGGGCGAATTATTCTCAAAAATATTAATTTAAAATACAAAACAAATGGTCCAGTTGTTCTAAACGTATGTTTCCTATTTAATCAAAAACAAAGATTCTTTATAAAATCATTGAGGATTTTTTTTTTTTTTGTCTTTTCTTTTAGAACCTAAATTTAGTGATTGAATCAGGATGGAGAGTTGGTATTGTTGGAAGAACAGGAGCTGGTAAATCATCATTGATATCAGTTTTATTTCGTCTTTATAATGAGGGTTTAGAGGGAGAATTAATAATTGATGGAGTTGATACAAAATTAGTTGGTTTACAAGAATTACGTTCACGAATATCAATAATTCCTCAGGAACCTGTTTTATTTTCGGAAAGTCTACGTCGTAATTTAGATCCATTTGGCTTGTATGCCGATGATCTTCTTTATGATGCATTAAGAGAAGTGGAATTAAGTGATCTTTCATTGGACATGCAAGTATCTGTTGGTGGCAGTAATTTTAGTGTTGGAGAGAGACAATTAATTTGCCTAGCTAGGGCAATATTACGAAATAATAAAATACTTTTGCTTGATGAGGCAACTGCCAATATTGATTCATAGTAAGTTTTCGATTATTTAGAAAATTAATTAATTATTCCAGAATTAATAATTAATTTCATTTTTTTTTTTTTTTTTTTTTTTTTTTTCTAGTACGGATAGTCTCATTCAAAAAACTATTCGAACAAAATTCACTAATTGCACTGTATTAACAGTGGCACATCGATTGAATACTGTTATTGACAGTGATCGAATTGTTGTCATGGAGAAAGGACACATGGTGGTAAGAATATTTATTAATTAGGAAAATAATTTTAATTTTTTGAGATAATAAATTATAAAATGATTTTCTCCTTTAAGGAATTTGGTTGCCCTCATGAATTATTGACTGATCATCCAAATGGATATTTTGCAAAAATGGTACAAAAAACTGGTGAAACAACAGCAAGAAACCTTATACAATTAGCTGAAATTGCATGTCGACGAAATATGGTACAAAGAAGTCTCGATCTAACACACGCGGATTCAATTGACAATGACAGTGGTTTTGACAATTTACAAACTACTAAAATATAATAAAAAAAAAAAAAAAAAATTCTATAACACGCTGCTAGTCAATAATTTCCATTTATTCAAGATTATTTTGAAAAAAAAAATATACAACAAAATTCTTTAACATAAATTATTATATAATTTTTAACTATAGAATTATTATAAATAGAGATTAGCTATATATAAAATATTTAAGTGCAAAAATAAATTCAAATTTTTTAAATAAAGTTTTTTCTTTATATTTTAATTTTCTATCAATTCCCGCTGTAAATTCAAATACTTTTACCGACAGCGTTTATTAATCAAGTTCCATGGAAATATTCTAGATGCCACACTGAGAAACTTTTTTTGATAAAACTAACTTCAAGAATATATTTTCTATTTTTTCTATAAACGAAATTTTTTTTTGAAATGAAAAAATTATTTTAAAAAAATGGAAAATTTTCTAAAATTTATATTTTAAAAAATTATTACACTTTGTGTAAGTGTGTAGAATAAAAATTATGAGCTCCATAACACATTTACAACGAGTGAGAAGAATATATAAAACAATTTTGAGGCTACATCGAGGATTACCATTGGAAATACAATCATTAGGGAATAATTATTTACGAGATGAATTTAAACGACATAAAAAATGCAATTCAACTGAAGCGAATGTCTTTCTTAACGAATGGGCTGTAAGAGATTTTTTTTTTAAATACAATAATATATAATTTAAAATATTTTATACCCTAACAGAGGTTATGTCTCATATTAGTTTACATTTTATTTTTACCGGTTATAAATAAATATAATTATAATTAAATATCAATAGTTTCTGATGCCAGTGAAATATATTGCAATAAAAATTTTGTATTTAATCATAATTAAATAAAAATATTTAGTAGTTAAAAATAAAAATAATAATATATTTTTAATATAATAACAATAATAATAATAATAACAATAATAATAATAATAATTTTGATTATCATTATTATTACAATATTTTAATTTTTAAAACTTTATATTCGTATAAAGAAAGTTAAAAAAATTTTTTCAGAATTATGCCATTTCTTTGGCAAAACAACTTGGATTACAAGGTCCAAAAACGGCGGAACCATTAGGAAAAAATTTAAATAATGAAGACATTGAAAAATTAAGAGATGAACAAGTATATCAACTTTATGAATTGCTTATGGCTGCAACGGGAACATCAGATGAAAAAATCAAACCTTCCTGACGTTACCAGATTCATAGTACAAATTATGTATAAAAAAAAAAAAAAAAAATTAGAGTAGATAATTACATTATTTATTTATTCTTAAATAAGAGGCATATTCTTAAATAATTTAGAATAATTTTTTTTTTTATAAATAAAATGATACATTATTAAATCATTTTATTTATAAAAATTATTTATTATTTATTATTATTATAGAAAAATAAAATTCTATCTTTTAAAAAAAATATGTTTTCCATTTTATTCCCTTATAGATTTTGTTTAGAAAATTTTATTTTTAATTATTATACTCGCTTCTTTTTTAGTCATGATATTTAATCATGACTCAACAAAATAAATTTTCAGTAGAAAATGTGCCGCTATCGACTGAACATGATTCAATCACGTGTGATTTAATTTATTTAATATATTTTTTTATTTTATCGCCTATGCAAGTTACCTGATTATAGGGTATAATAAGTATAGTTCAAGTATAGAAAAAAATTTGTTAATTCTTATTTGCATTAGACGAACTTTAATTTAAATAATATAAACATTTTTTTAAATTTATTATTTTCAAATTCGCGAATTTTTTTGAAAAATGTATGTGATACAAATATTAAATATAGGAAAATTTTCATTAAAAATATAATAAATTTCTCGAGTTTTTAATGAAAATCAACTTCATTATATATAATTGTAAGTGAACATAACCTCTGACAAGAGAAAATAGATTTAATTTTTAAATTCTATAATTAAGAGAAGAAATTTCAATTTTTTGCAGATATTGTTTATGAAAAAAAAAATTAATTAATCAAGCTAAATAATTTTATTTAAATTTATAAAAAAAAATTATTTATATTTAAAATAAATTTTATTTGGTTCATAAATCAAAATGTGTATCAAATAAAAATTTTATTTATGCTAAATAAATATTTAGCTCTCAGGGAAATATTTTTATTTAATTCAAATTCGAATAAAATATTTCTCTGCGTGTTAATTTATAACAATTCATATTTTTGTGACGTGGCATTAGAAGAATTATAAAAAAAAAAATAATTGATAAACAAACGAACGTCATATTTTTCTGCACAGTCATTTTTTTCACATGTCATCAGTTTTCAAAAAGGTTATAATGATATTGAATTATTTAATTTGTTATTAAGACAATTATTTTTCTGTTCTATTATTTTCTATATAATAATTAATTTTCAAAATGAAAGTTTGGAAAGATGCTGCTAGTCTTCTTTTAGCAGCTCGTCATCGTGTCAAACCCAAAGAAACTTCATCGTCAGTTGTAAGTGTTCAAAATTTTACCCAAAAAAAAAAAAAAAAAAAAAAAAAACAATAAAAATTTCTAAAATAATAATTTTAAATAATAAAAAATAATAATTTTAAATAATATATTAAAAATTAATAATCTTTTGTATAATTAAGAAAAAAAAGTAAAAAAAAATGGATTATTTAATTTACAGTTTACGTATGACTATCAATTATTGGCGCTGAAGAGACATCAAAATTCAAGTTTTATGCCCGGTGCTTATGTATTTCCTGGTGGTACAACTGAATCAGCTGACGCTGATTTAAAGTGGAATAAACTTTTCGCTGCATTTGGATTTGATCAGAATAATTTTAAATCATTGATACCAAATACAAATGTCAGGCCACCTATTTTTAAAAAAATTTCTAATGAACTTCCACGTGAAATTTCTCTACGTATAACTGCAATTCGAGAAACATTCGAGGAATGTGGAATTTTACTTTGTAAACGCTCGACAAAAGTTGGATTTTTAAAAGATTGGGCCGAAAATTTAACAGGTTCTATATAATTTCTTCTTTATTATATATATACTTTGATTATTTAATTCAACTTTTATTTCTTCTATTATTTATTTCACAAATTTTTCCTCTTTTTTTTCTAATTATTTGCTCGTTTATTTTTTTTTTTAATTATTTCTTATTCAATAATGGGACGCATGATTATGTTCTAAAAATCATTAGTCATAATTTACATTTTATCGAATTTTATTTTTCCTAATTAGTTTTGAGCCGAATTTTAATTTGTTCGAAATAGCATTTGGCATAATTTTCATCAATCCGATTATCTATATGGCAGAATTTTTATATAACGGAAAATTCAACTCACAGAATTTTTATTTCTTTGAATTTTTATTTGTCAGAATTTTTATTTTCTCGAATTTTCATTTAACATAATCGGCATTTTAAAGAATTTTTATTGAGTAGAATTTCATTGAATAGAATTTTCATTTGTTCGAATTATTATTTGATATAATTTCCATATAATCGATTTTTCATATTACAGAATTTTTACTTAACCGACAAATCATTTAATAGAATTTCTAATTGATAGAATTTTCATTTGTCCGAATTTTCAAATGACCGAACAAACAAATCGACAGAAAGATTTCAGCGCGATTTTTAAAATCAATCAATCACAAATTTTATGAATAATTTTTGATTGGTTGATTTTAAAAATCGCGCCGAAATAAAAATTCTGTGAGTTGAATTTTTCGTTATATAAAAATTCTGCTATATAGAAAATCGGATTGATGAAAATTATGCCAAATGCTATTTCGAACAAATTAAAATTCGGCTCAAAACTAATTAGGACAAATAAAATTCGATAAAATGTAAATTATGACTAATGATTTTTAGAACATAATCATGCGTCCCTCAATAATTTATCCATTAAATTAATTTTTTCAATTAAAGTCCATTTTCGAAACCAACTAAATTTTGATTTTCTTTTTTTTTTTGGGGTTCAGTTACAAACAGAGAACTTGAAGAATGGCAAAATAAAGTGCACAATGATCCCACAGAATTTTATAAATTATGTGAGGGTCTTCAATGTTATCCTGATTTATGGTCTCTACATGAATGGAGCAATTGGTTAACACCAACCAACGTTGGTGGAAAGCGTTTTGATACTGTTTTTTATTTGGCTTGTCTACCAGAAATTCCTGATGCTAAATATGAAGAAACAGAAATGGAGGATTTAATAGTAAATTATTATTTTTTTTTTATTTTCAATTATTTATAATAATTTTTAGAATATAGGCTTCATTATAATGTTAAGAATTTAATAAATCTTCATTTCTAAAGAAACTTTATAATGAAGTAATAAATTTTCTTTTTAGTGGGCAAATCCAAAGAATCTTATTAATTCAACATCGAGTGTTCTTTTAATGCCACCACAACAATATGAATTAGCGAGATTAGCAAAATTTGAATCATTAGATAATTTATTAGAATTTGCTGTCGATCGTAGCAAAATGGGCGTACACTTAAACTTTCCGGTAAGATAATTACCATAAATAATTAAATAAAACATTTTTTTTAATTAATAAAATTAGAAAAAAAATGAATAATCAATTTTTCTTTTTTTTTCTAAAGGTCAAGGTAAAATTATTGGACGGTACAGTATTTCTTTTACCCGGAGATTCATTGTATCCAAAGCATGTGAGTTTTATAGAAAAAAATATTCTCGACAAATCAACAATGACAATTAATGAATTACGAAATGATTCGACAATTAAGAATCGTTTGGAATTTTATGATCTTGAAATTAAAAAAATAATTGTTCACAATCATGAAAATATTGATGGGCATTTATCACCACTTCCCGTTCAAACTGTTCGTATTAAGCCAAGTAAATTATAAAATTTGTACATTGGTTTGAAAAAACCAAAATATTTTTTTTTTTTATAATGTGAATAATATGTTAATTAAGTTTCTTAGTTTCTAAAATTTTGTAAATAAATTATTTTTTACAAAAATTATTATTATTATTATTATATGCCATTAAAATAAAAAAAAACAATTGAAATTTGAAAGTGAAACTCGAAATCTTGATTTTTCACATTCATAATAATTTTGTGATGATATTTTATAATTGCTCGATTTCATTGGTCTCATAAACATTCACTGCCAAGATTAATTTCCTGACTTTGATATTAAAATCTCAGTTTGAAACAAAGTCCCTTAATATGTATATATATATATAATTCATGAGAGCGAAAGCATCATCACTACATATAATAACTTCCATGCTGTCATTAAAGATTTTTTTTTTTATTCTATATTTGTTGCTTTATTCTCCATTGCTCTTAAACATTTTTTTTTTTTGATGAGCTGCGCATAACGGATACCATTAAAATTGAAAGTAAATAACTCATTTTCTTACATAAGATTATGTACGAAAAAAAAAAAACAATAAAAATTAATTTCTGCATAAAAAAAGAGTATCGAAATTTAAAAAACAAAAAAAAAAAAGAAAAATTTGTCTTTGAAAAAAAAGGGTAAATTTAAATTATTGGTAGTTATTTTTTAATTAATATTTTTATTTCATATTTTTAATTGATAAATTATATTATAATTTTAATTTATTTGATTTTTATTTTTATTTAAATTTGAAAATAATATATTAAGTTCCTTTCAAAATCCTTATCTTTATAATTTAATAACCATTGTTTGAATTCTGCTTTCTATCTCATATATTTGAAAAAAAAATTAATTTTCTCTAAAAGATCGTTTTGTAACAAAATTTTGCAATTTTGTAAAATGTTTATTAAAAAAAAAATATATATATATATATATATATAAATGTGGCAATTATAAAATCTCAATTGCAAGTTAATGCAAATTAAAAAAGGAATGAGGAAACCAGAAATTTTCCAAAGTTTAATAAATGTGTTAGTATTTATATATATATATATATGTATGAAAAGTTTCACTTAAACTATTCCGGTGAATCAGACATTTATGTGCGAAGCGTTTCAGTGAAAATGAAATTGATCTATAAAGAGCGTCAGTGAAACCAATCTGTGAGAGACGCACTGATGAAGGAAGTTACACGAGAGAGTAATCTGATATTCAGTGAAGGAGGAAGTATTTTTTTTTTTTTTTTTTTTTTATAATAAATAGTGATATAAACTAGTCATCATATAGAGATGATGATCGCATATCTTATACAAGATTATTGTAACATTTAAATATACATATAACCATCAATTATTAGAATTTAGTTCCTCGTGTATTATTTATTACATAATTAGATCAATAAATTATCTTCATGATTTTCCAGTCATAAAACATGATAAGTCCTCACTAATCAATGTCATATTTATTATTATTTATTTATTAAATCATTCCATAAAATTCCCTTAGTTTTAGTTAATCAAATTTTTTTTTTTTCATAATTTATTTTATAATTATTAATTATATTTTTCATATATTATTATTATTATTATTATTATTAGCTACCCATCTTCAAATATTTATTTGATTTTATATTTTTTATTTAGCTTTGAGACAAATATATTTTTTTAGCCTTTTTATATTAATTTGAAATTTGAAAAAAATTTAAATATGCTCTAATAATAATAACTTTATATCAAAAATTTTTTGTTGCAAATAAAAATTTTCTTTAGTAAAAATATATTTTTAATAGTTGATTTTTTTGCCCCCCAAATTTTTTATTTCTGTTAATTATTACTTTTGAAACCAATCAGTTAATCGAAGGTAAATTATTATGTTCTAATGAGTAATTATAAACAGTCATTTAAAGTAATTAACTGATTTTCTTGAATCAATGAAATTCCTTTAAGTCAACGGGAATTTCTTGAATCAATCTAAAACGGCAATTCGACGGAAATTAACATTTTAATGGACTTTTGAAAGTTTTTAAGATATATTGATGAAATAGGCAAAAAAAAAAAAATTTCGCTATGTATTTCAAAATCGAAAGATTTAAAATCAATTTTTTAAATATTTAAAAAAAATTTAATTTTAAATTTATTTAATTTATTTTTAAATTTTTTAAATATTTAAATAATTAAATATTTAAAAAATTGAGAAATTATTTCAATTCAAATAAATGGTATAGTTGTAATTAATGATATTTTTTAAAATAAAAAAAAAAATTTTTTTTTTGAAATAAAGAAAAATATTGAGAAAAAAAATTATAAAAAAGAGGGTTGAGATTTTTCCAATTACGTCACTTGTTATAACGATTATGAAAACGTAAAAGAAGGCACTCATCCAATAAAACAAGTATAATAAATTTATCAATTCGCGTGGAGAAACGCGTATTCGCTCTCGGATCAAATAAATTTTTTTTCACTGCCATCATATAGGAAGAAGAACATGTAATTCCAGCGAAAGGAAAATTTTTTTTATCTCTCTTTCTCTCTCTCTCTCTTGTCAAGATTGTCTTATTCTGATTCGATTTTATTCCAAACAGATATATCTCGTCGTGAAAGGACTAAATAACCACACGCACATATACATTCGTCAAAGACAGAAAATTACATAGAAATTTTTTTCTTCTTCTTATTATATTAAGAAATAGTCAATATTAGCAATAAATTATTAATTGTTACAAGAAAAGAGGAGAAATTTACCGTGTGCAACCGTAAAATTTGCAATTACGTATAAAATATTCTTGTAACAAATATTATATGAAATTAATGACAATAAAATTTTGATATAGAGGAAACTGAGTGATTATTATAATTTTCTAAAAAAAAAAAGAAACATTTCACTTTTATTTATTTCTAATCAATTTTCCTATGAAAAAAAAAAAAATGACCGCAATTATACAAAATATTGAAAAACAAAATTAAAATGCAAATAAAATTACAATATAGACAAAAAGTGAAGGATAAATTTCCTTTTGAGTATTATGTAATATTAAAATATTCCCATAGACTATAGAAAAACATGTTTACGATCATGTTGAAGTCATTTTTTTTAAATGCACTTAAAATTTGTTTCATTAGAATTAAAATGTGTAAGTAACTTTAAAAATATAAGTATCGCGTTGCAGCAATCTTTTTTTTTTTTTTTTTTAAGAGAAAAAAAAACTATTCTCAAGCAATATCGGAATTAAATTTTTTTATTTTTTTAGAAAGAAATATAATTTCTACTTAAAAATATATAATTGTCAGTTTTGGTCATATATAGACTATGGATCTATTACTGTTAAATATAATTTTTAAAAACACAAAGTAACTCTTAATATTATAGTTACAAGTATTTTTTTTTATTCCGATACCACACAATCGATACTAAAAACAATTTTTTTAAAAAAGTTAGACAATTTTATTGTTTAAATTGTGTTTTTATATAGAATTACAAATTTAAATGATCAAATATTGACAATTATTATATTTTTACAAAAAAAAAGTTTCTTTTTTGATAAAAAAAATTTTTTTCATTAAAAATTTATTACAAAATATGAAAAAAAAGCAAATATTCGAAAATATGTAATCTATCGATATATGGGAATTTAAAACAGAGAATTAATTTTTTTGAATTATGTAAAAAATTTAGTTATGTAAAAAAATTATATGCGAAATATCGTATATTCTTGTATATGATACATTTCAAAATCAGTCTGGATTCTTATGAAACTTGATTAAGAAAATAATCCTTTCTTTAGTTTTTTTTTTTTTTTTTTATATATATTTTTACATCAGACAGACATGTCTACTATATGGTAAAAACTTGTTTCTCCTCCCACTATATAAACTTCAAATTTCCCTCCAAATTCTTTTTTATATTAAAAAAAAAAAAAAAAAAAAAAAAAACATTCTTGTGACGAAATTTCAGATATCTTGCATTTTTTTCGAAATTTGAATTTCAAAAAATTTCAGTATACCATTATTCACAACTATACTATTATTTGAAACTGCGAATAAATATTAGTAAAAATTATTGATTATAATATTATTATCATAACTATAATAATAATTATAATTGTAATAACAATAATATAACTTTCATTTTTTTATTATTAATATTTTTATTATTATTATTATTATTATATTATATTATATTATATTATATTATATTATATTATATTATATTATATTATAATAATTATAATTGTAATAACAATAATTATTATAACTTTTACAAATATCTGGAGAAAAAAAAATTTGTCTCAAAGCTAAAAGTATTTTTATGTTTAATTCATGTTATTTTTATTATTATATATTACATTATTATTTAAAGGGATAAACTTCCAGTTATTTATTTAAAAAAAAAAATAAATATCTGGAACATGGAAGAAGAAAATTAAATTATCATATACTACTGAAACCATTACTTAATTAACAACATATATATATATAGTAATTAGAATTTACTGCCCATGACTAAACTAAAATGAAGCAATATGATGTTATAAAGGGACAATATAAAATATATCCAACGTGGATTAAAATGCATGTATATAAATAACACATCGAGTTTCTTAATCCATGATAATATGTATATCTAAACTCAACAAGGATTCATGTAAGACTTGAAATAAAAAAATAAAAAAAAAAAAAAAAATTTACTCCTCTTGAAAGATTTCCTCTTTAATTAAAATATATCTATCTCTTCATCTTCGTTTTCATTATACAGAATCCTCTATGTTTTTCATATACGAGTTCAAGTATATAAAAAGAATCTACATTCCTAACTTTTTCCGCAGATGTTTATCAAAGTAACACACACACAGAGAGAGAGAGAGAAAGAGAATATAATAAAGTGGACTTAGTACTTTGATGTACCTATAATCATGTCTGATTTCACCATAATATGTGAATAAAGTCGGGCAGCCTTGATTTCGAATTCGATCTTTAAAAAAAAAAAAAAAAAAAATGTAATATGAACCTCATCCAAATTTCTTGTATCCAGAATCGCTAAACTTGCCATATTTGGATACTTGTCAATCTGGTTGGATATATTTTTATACATAGGTATATATACATACGCACCACTTTTA